GATTTCTCATTAGTTTTTATAATGTTGATATTTTTTGGAAAGATCTCCTCACTCCCATATCTGCTTTTAGATTAAAAATTCGTCAACTTTGAAGCAGGGTCGAACAACGGGGGGGGGTCGTACTCAGTTGAGCATGGAGGCGGTCGTACTCTCTCGGTGGCCGACAGTGGGATTCTTGGTAATATCGGATAATGGATATAGCCAGCACGTTACGTTTTCGTAAGATGACTGATACTAGAGCATCTATAAACCACGCTTCCCTCTAAATGAGCTTTCAAATGAATCAGCGAATTAGAAGGGCGCCCGAGGCGTGGCGCGCACCAAGGCAAGGGATGTAGTGCAAGCGCATGCTCGAAGCTTTCTAGCACATCCTAAATTAAACATGAAATTGGTCTTCCAAGAAGTTACGGGCAGTGAAACCTAAGAAAACCCGCGTTTTCGAGAAAATGGCTTGAAGAATACCCCTCAAAAAAAAGTAACAACGGGACTAATTTTTGAACTGCTGATCTTTCAGGAACGCTTGGGTGCTCGTTAGAAAGCTTGAATCCTGTAGTTTATTATACCGTGTTCAGCTTCCCAAATGAATGACTTTGAAGGAAGTTATGATCGTTTGAAGGTCAAAAAGTCGCTTTGCACAGAAAAAAGTAACAACGTACTAAATTTTTATTAAATTAACTTTCGAAGAATTTTTACCCATGGTTGGAGAGAATAATTTGAATTTTCCAAATCAAATCACTTCGGCGCAGAAGCTCGAATATGAAGGAAGTTATAGCCCTAGAAAGAGGAGTGTAAAAATTGTGTTTGCAATTTTATTTTTTGCCTAATAACTTATTCATTCCGAAGTGTTTGAGAACAAATGAGCACTCGTTAGGAAGGGAGCCACGTCGATCCAAAATCCACCTAAATCTTCCTGAACTACCTGACCAGTTCGACGCCTGTTCAGCGTGACCAAATGCGCTCCACCGTCAGTGTTTGGAAGCAGCGATAATATCTGTCGTCGGTTTTGCTAAAGTTTCATCTTTGATGATTTACGTAGAAATAAATATTGATGGTAAACACTGTCTCTACACAAGTTTTACATTACATTCGGTGTGTCTCTTCTATCAAATAAAAATAAAAAGGATAAAGCATTTGCCGTTGATCAATCCCTTTTTGGGATGCGGCACGCATTCTACTTCCATTTGTACATTCGTAGTGGCGTTTGAATGCGATGTGGCCTATACAATGACTTGCGGGGGCCAGCCGATGTACAAGTCAGTGTTTTTATCCTCCCAGACAAGTCTGGTACCAATTAACCGACCCCGGAGGGATGGAAGGCTTGGTTGGCCCGGGCGACTCACGACCCAGGATTTGATCCCGGACCGCTCGCGTGGTAAGCGTGCCACTTGCCACTACACCACTTCCGCCCTTCATCTTCTCTTAATTTTCTGGATTTACAACAATCGTGGGAGATTGGTATGCCAAATATTGCTATATGTAGAAGACGATCGCAAGTCTGATATGAGGACTAGAATGACATCTTAATACATAATGTACTCAGGTAGTTGGAAATATTTCTCTTCCTCAATTATCATCCTACTTCTGTCCCAATAGCCTCCAACTGCCAGCACAATGCTAGGGTTGCTAGAGTATAAGCCTCAGTATTCGTTTATGGAGCCGTAGGGGGTTATCAAAATCAAGCCATTGCAAAACATTGTGAGCTCTGCAAGCCATCCGATTTTGTTAACAGTATGCTTATTCTAGGAACTTTTTACCACATTATTTCACAAATGGGCAAGCAGAAATGCTAAAAAACGGACACACCAAGTTAGGAAGTAAGCAAACCAGCCCTTTTGGCGTTTCTGCTGGGGCCGTATGCTGAATGTTGGGGAGGGGATGGGGTCCCCGACGGTCGACGGACCACTTCAACTCGGTCCTTAGAACCGCCACAATTTGGTGCTTACCTCAGAACTAAGCCTTAAAGAGAGAGGACGGGTCCGTCCCCTCTCCAAGGCTTAGTCCTGGGGTGAGCAAACCAGCCCTTCTGGCGGAGCTGCTGGACCAGCTGCACCACTTGCGTCAGTACTCTCCTATCGTACCAACCGAGTTGAAGTAGTCCGTCGACCTCGGGGACCCCATCCCCTCCCCAACATTCAGCATACGGCCCCAGCAGAAACGCCAAAAGGGCTGGTTTGCTTACCTCCCAAGTTAGCGGCTCGTGGTAGAGGGATACTTAGAAATCTGTGCAGCCCTGTCTAAGAGTCCGAGCTAATTACCGAGATGAATATTTTGACTGACCCACTAATGAATTTTGGCATACGATCTACCTTAACATTAGTAAAGAGCCTCGGGTGCTCGATCTCGTACCTCGATTGATAAGCTGAGGATTTTACCCAGCTGCGCAAACTCGCCTCCCTTCCAACTGACTGGCTATTTTCTGAACTTTTCTTCATTGATCGTAGTTTAGCAACCACCAAAGCAGTTGATATGATAACAATGATACCCATTGCCTAGATGGAGAAAAAACGCATGCAATATTTGCAAATGCAACAAAAAGAATGTAGGCCAGTAAGTATACGAACTGGAGAGAAGTTAGCAGTTTGGACTCACCATATTGCTACCTCCCCAATAAAGTCGGAAAGTGTCGCTGGTGAAGCATCCGAGTGCTCCGCAGTTATATTTTCTTTTCACAGGTGTAAGAACGTATTCAATAACAAGATCAAGGATTGCTAGCATGCACCCAATCAGCAGCGAGCACATCGCATACGAGGAGGAGGATAACTTGCGATATGTTATAGGAAGCCGTAAAGCCTCAAATTCAGATGCTCCAAGAGGTTTGAGGTACTAACTCTATTAAAATTCTTGACCAAAGTTCGTTCGAAATCTATGGATATAGTGAGATTCAGGTTCAGTTCAATTGGGCAATAAGAGGAGCGCTGGAGATCAACACGAAATAAGGATCAAGATCGAAGGTCATTGGATTCCAGTGCGTTGTCAGGTATATGATGTAGGGAAGAGTTGAAATAATGGACTGCAAGAAAATCCGTTGATCCGAATGTGGAAAGTTCGCTATATGAATGAATAGAGTTACTTACGGCTGCATTAAGAAGGTCGGTCAGTGTTAGAAAAAATAATAGGCGATGGCTAGGACTCTTGCGAAGTCTTTTGTGGAGTTTTAGAAGACGACCGATTTGGTAGGGCA